AACAGCTCACTACACTGACACCTTAATTGCTACACTGACAATTCAAAGTCACTTCACTATACCAACATAAAACACAGCTTTATGTGGTACAAACAGCTCACTATGCACCTCGTTATATAGAACCCTGACACCTCTCTACACCGACACTTACCCCTGTCATAAAACACAGCTTTATGTGGTACAAACAGCTCAATGTACACCTTGTCATATAGAATACTGACACCTCACTACACTGAAATGTACCACTGTCATAAAACACAGCTTTATGTGGTACAAACAGCTCACTGGACACCTCGTTATATAGAATACTGACACCTCTCTACGCCGACACTTACCGTTGTCATAAAACACAGCTCTATCTGGTACAAACAGCTCTATAGAATACTGACACCTCTCTACACCGACACATACCACTGTCATAAAACACAGCTTAATGTGGTACAAACAGCTCACTGTTCACCTCGTTATATAGAATACTGACACCTCTCTACGCCGACACTTACCGTTGTCATAAAACACAGCTCTATCTGGTACAAACAGCTCACTGTACACCTCGTTATATAGAACACTGACCCCTCTCTACACCGACACTTACCACTGTCATAAATCACAGCTTTATGTGGTACAAACAGCTCACTGTACACCTCATTATATAGAATATTGACACCTCTCTACACCGACACTTACCACTGTCACAAAACACAGCTTTATGTGGTACAAACAGCTCAATGTACACCTTGTCATATAGACTACTCACACCTCTCTACACTGAAATGTACCACTGTCATAAAACACAGCTTTATGTGGTACAAACAGCTCAATGTACACCTTGTCATATAGAATACTGACCCCTCTCTACACTGAAATGTACCACTGTCATAAAACACAGCTTTATGTGGTACAAACAGCTCACTACAGACACCTCGTCATATAGAATACTGATACCTCTCTACACTGACACCTACCCCTGTCATAAAACACAGCTTTATGGTATAAATAGCTCACTACAGACACCTTGTCATATAGAACACTGACACCTCTCTACACCGACACCTACCCCTGTCATAAAACACAGCTTTATGTGGTACAAACAGCTCACTGTACACCTCATTATATAGAATATTGACACCTCTCTACACCGACACCTACCCCTGTCATAAAACACAGCTTTATGTGGTACAAACAGCTCACTGGACACCTCGTTATATAGAATACTGACACCTCTCTACGCCGACACTTACCGTTGTCATAAAACACAGCTCTATCTGGTACAAACAGCTCACTGTACTCCTCGTCATATAGAATACTGACACCTCTCTACATCGACACTTACCACTGTCATAAAACACAGCTTTATGTGGTACAAACAGCTCACTATGCACCTCGTTATATAGAACACTGACACCTCTCTACACCGACACTTACCCCTGTCATAAAACACAGCTTTATTTGGTACAAACAGCTCACTGGACACCTCGTTATATAGAATACTGACACCTCTCTACACCGACACCTACCCCTGTCATATAACACAGCTTTATGTGGTACAAACAGCTCACTACACTGACACCTTAATTGCTACACTGACAATTCAAAGTCACTTCACTATACCAACACCTCACCATTCTGACAGTCTTAACAGAAACCTGTCCACCCTTACCCCTCACCACAAGACTCCTAGCTATGAAGTGATGTATCTATACATACAAGGTATACTTGGCCATGTTTATTGACCATGATTATTTCAGATCCACAATCAGTTGTGTATATCTAGTACACACAGAAGCTCTGTAGGACAGCAGACATGATTCTCTCATGTCCTCGTTTTTCTCGACATTATTTAGCCTTGCCGCTGGACATATAATCACACATCTTCTAGCTGTTCTGATGGAGTAGACAGCTGTCTTCTGATCTGTCCAGATAAATGTATGATCTAATATAGTATCCCTGTACCCTGACATCAGGGTACCTAATACGGTTCTCCACTCCCTAATACACATCCACCGGCTAGGATGGCTGATGTGTGTGTTTCTGATAGACCAGTCCTTGTATCAGCAGTAGACAGTCAATAAATATGGATCTGAATTATTCAAAACACAAGGAAATAGACAGTTACACTTAGTGATGTTTATATTATATATAAAAATATACATTGAATAACATTGATGTTACATAGTCCTTAGCTGATGTTATGTCTAGCTAGTAAGTATTTGATGGCTTATAAAGCTATTTCCTCAAAAACACTTTCTAACATAATAGGTCTTAATTAACTACAATAATATGTAACCTATTTGGTAGTATTCTACAAATGTCTATGACCTGATTGGTCATTACTACAAATGGCTGTGATATGATTGGTCATCATTTCATTTGTCTGTGTCTGTAACTTGATTGGCCATTATTTTGTTTGTCTGTAACTTGTTTGTTCATTTATTTTATTTGTCTGTAACCTGATTGGTCATAATTTCATTTTGACATTTCCTGGTTGGTGATTTCATGTTTTGCAGACCAGTTGAAATGGATGCTAGCTATCATAATAGATCTGAAATCTGTTAATGTTCTGAAGACATAACAATCAACCCAGCCTTTGTCATTAACACCTTGTTTACACAGACAAGGTCATCATAAATACCGTATGTGTATGTACATTTATATTAATATACATATCTATTATCATATGAACCTCTGGGTTGAAACAATGACTTTGAATAAGATATTGCATTCAATGGAACAAAAAGTTACATTAATATACATTAATATACATTAATATACATTAATATATATCATATATATCAATATACATTAATATACATTAATATACATTAATATACATTTTTGTGTTGAGTAATGATGACTTTGAACTGAATTTTTCATGAAATTCAAAGACAGACATAAAATTGACGAAAGTGTAAACATAATAAAATTATTTCAACAGAAACAGACATTAACTCATTCACCCCTGAAGACACATTTGAACTCTTCTAATTCAAAGGTTGGTATAGTTCATTATGAAATGTCAGGGGTGAATGAGTTAAACCTACAAACAGAAGCATGGGTTTAGCAACGGATACAGATGGATGTACCCAAAAAGTAAAACATAATTGTATGACCACTCATAAAATCACATTAAATTCTAACAATCCGACACAAGCCTCCTGAGGGATCAAAGAGCAAGTCTAGCAGGCGATAATACAAACTCAAGAACAATGATCAACATCATGTATACAGTTTTTGTCGGATCGTAAAAAGAATTACGATGAATAATACTTCTTTTTCTAACATTTAAAACTACTTTCGTAATGGAGGTAGCTCCTCTATCAGACACTTACAAAACAATGCCACGTACGAGGGGGCCTAACTGTGGACACGAGCTCGGGGACGTCCCAGCAGAGATAGAGTAACGGCATTACAACGTCAGCCCACCGACGAGACCGATAAATAATTCACCACTCAATTCTCACATCGGATCATCCGTATCATATTTATGATAAAGGCAATATCATGTCTTCTGAAAAAAAAGTTCAAATATCAATATTGTTGTAATGACAGGGCTCGGACACGTATCTCGTGGACTACCGCTAATGCACATCAAATTCCCTTTTGAATGAATGCATCCAAAACTCAATTCCTCACTTTTTTCCCCATTTTTTAATTGGACAGGTTTCAGATGATCTGCTGTTTACGGAAATGGGTTTCACGGTTGGACAAGAGGAAAATTAATTGTTTAGGAATGTGGAAGGAAACTTGCAATTGTTAAAATGCTCATTGTTACAAATTGAAAGTGATGGCTTTATGTAACAATTAATGGGTCTAACCAACACCAGTGGGCTTGACATGCTCCCCCTATCACTCTATACAGCTCTTTGATTGGGTGACACTACTCTCTCAATTATAATTAAAACATGCTAGTCAGAGGGACCGATTCTGTTTCTGTGAAAATGTCCAGATTCATCACAGATTTATATCGAGTTATTCACAAGTGTGAAATTGATTCTGTTACCACAGTAATGTGAGAAAGAAGAGCAGATTCTATCATATGCTGGTATCGGGGATATGGAAATTTAAAACAAAAATGAAAAATGAAAAACCTTTAACTACTGTATGATTGGCTCTTTTACTCACAATGGCTTTTGAATACATCAAACAAAGACAGTATTCTACCTACAGATTTTAGAAATCTGCAAACAGTGTGTCTGGAAAAAACCCACAAAAATAATGGTACACTAGCTAAACACCATGCAGTAAAGCTGTCGGCAGAAGCTACACAGTAATTGTTTGTGTTATAGCTATTCCCTTACACGAGACAATATCAGTGGCTGACTGTTTTGGCCATAAATATTGTTCTGCTGATCACGATGATGATTTTATGATGTCACATGACATTGAGACGGTGTCATATTTATGAATGTCTGCCGACAAAATACTGAAAATATTTTATAGAATTCCTAGACAGGATTTAGAAAAATGATATCGTTAAGTCCATCACAGTCGATCACGTATCCACATACAGGAAACGGTGTGTCGTGCATATGTAGAAGTTGGAGAAATGAAAATGATACATGACGCACTCTAGCCTGTCTGATATCAAATATAAGAAACCCGGGCCATGAAGCCTCTTAATGATTGACTTGCATACCAAAGTTAGTGACAGTGAACACAATCATAAGCTCAGCAATAGTTTCAACTTATACAAAGAAAACGTTATATAATGTATCGATCAAGCAATGTTAAAATGTCGACAGATGATCATATAACGACCAAATACACAATGGAGATAACATTATAATTCTCTGATTCAGAGATAAGCCAAATTGGCAACATTATCTCCTCGCAAATTCAAGCAAACAAGATGTCTTGAAAAACTTTGGTGATCAACAACAGAGGTAACATTCATTAGTGGTGCTTAGCTGTAGGATGTATTACTATGATAAATTGGTTGATGGTTCTTAATAGTTTTAGCAACATTCCGAAAGAAGAGAAGTTTAAAATTTCAAACTTACCTGCAGATTTGATTCACTTTGACTCTGTTTTCTTTTATTCTGAAAGTAAAAGCCATAAAAATTAGCCTGCTGATGTTAAAAATGTCTTTATATAAAAAAAAAAAACTTTAGTTGCCCTGCTGTGACCTTAACAGTGTCATGGACACATTCCTACAGAAGCTTGACTGATAAACACTAGATTAGCAGCAATGTTAAACATTCATGTGACCTGATTATACATTAGCCAGTGTCAGCGGGTTAATTTGTTCAAATGCTACTGAAGATTACCCAATTAAGATACTTTTAATCTGTCTCAAAAAACCTATCTTAACGGTAAGTTGTAATCACGTTCAAACGTAAATGTATGACCTTCGTAGATTATGTAAGACAAATTAAATCAAAATGAAATAAAATTTCTGTATCAGTGATTCAAACAAATTCAAAAATTTCCTGCAAAATTTATCTTGTTCCCACGCAGTAATGAAAACAAGGGAATGACCATTACCACCTTTGGGTCTGAGCATGGTCAAAATCCTGCTATGGTCAAGTTCATCGGGTGAGGAATTATGATGGTCAATGGGCCGGGACAGATATAATGAACTCACTATGAAAGATATTTTGAAGTTGTCTAAAAACATACAGAACGTTAAAAGTGAAACCAAGTACTGGGCTCTGAAGCCTGCATGCATTTAGAACTCACAAAACCTTTTTTGATACCGCTGGCCAGACAAGTTTTTGAGTGCATAAGCAAAAATATTATCTACCGGTATATAGTGATTTGAAAACATGACTGACAGACCACAGATAGATACAAGATGACGGAGATTACGGCTACTACATATGGAACCGCCATGTCACAAACGGGGAGCTTAATTTGTAAAAAAAATAGCGGACAAACTTGTTAATTGATGGTTTTTATCAAAAATGCCAGATTTCTCATCAATGGACAGAACCAGCTGTGTATGTTGAACACAGTTTAAATTGAAAAAGTAGCAAAACTGCATGATAAAATGTTTATGTACGAGGTTGGCATAAAAACAATTGTGAAAACTTCTTGGCATGTACACAATGACTCCATTAATGTGAAATTCTGATACATCACTGTCAAATTGAATGTGAATTAAAACTTCAGTATTATTTTTTATTTCAAGCATAATTATTTATTATGCTGAAGATAAAACTGACATTATACAATGTAACAGAATATTAAATTCTACATAAATCTTTCCTGTGCCCCATAACTACAAAACTTTTGTGTACAAATACCTTCAGAAGACAAACCAGTTCTTGTTTTATATATTTTTATATTTTTTATATATATCGGCACCTTCATGGAAGCTAGGTTTTTGTATTATTTTTGTATAAAACAAAGCAACACTGACTTTGGGGAGATGAGATTCCAAGCTTGGATATCCGGAAGAACTCAAAATCAGGTTCCAAGTTTCGACTCAAAAAGAGCTGGGTCGTATGTTTGCATATCCAGTTAACATCAAAATCAGGTCTCAAACTTGGATATCTCGCTTGACTTGAAATGAGGTCCTAAGTTTGGAGGTCCATTAATGAAACTCAAAACTCAGATTATGATCTTAAAAATCTACGTGTGACTCACGAGCTCCCAATATTGCCAATCTAGTGGGACCATAAATAAGGTCCCAAGGCTTGAGTATCAACTGGGGCTCAAAATAAGTTCCTCAGCTTTGAAACTCAATGTCATTAGAAATTAGATCTAAAACCTGGAGATCTAAATTGACTGTACAAGAATGATGATATCAGAATCTGGGGATGTCCAGTGCAACAGGAAATATGGTATAAATCTTCAGGATATAGTAGGACTCGGAATGCGTTTCCAAGCTTGGATATCCATTGGAACTCGGACTGAGTTCTAAACTTTAGATCAAAATGTAGTAAGCAATTCAATTACGTTTCCAAGTTTGGATATCTACTGAGACTTGTGGTTCTAAGCTTGAAGCTAGATTACGCTGGATCCCTCGCTCGACTGTGTATATATCAGTACTGCTGGAAGACTGGCACCACCTTGCTCCAATCAGACCGAACTATCAGAGGGCAAATTGACTGTGAGCTTATCTCACAGACACAACCATTCCCCTGCGCATCTGAACAGACTGTCATAGCACACACATGGCCATAGCAAAACACACTTAAAGGTTGTTTTATTTTTTTTTATTTCACTGGAATAAAATACGGCTCTAATCAACAGGCACTAACTCTACCTTTTACGGAGAGTAAAACTGCTAATCTATTTCTATATCAATGATTGGCTACATTCATCTGAAGACTTTATCCACTAACCACTAATCCAATCTCCGTTACTGGTCTGATCAATATGGCTGCACTAGCTAGCTGTTACCGTATACCCAACGAAACATATGTACTTGTATTTCTGTAGGTCAACAGAATGTCATGTTTCAATACGGCCTAGACTTTTATGATATTTTAAGAGAATTTTATATGAAAGCTGCATTTTGACATTTCAGTAAAATTCAGTTTTTTTACAATTACATACTATATACATGTATCTTAATAAAGGCATTGTCTTGTGGTCACTAGTTCAGCCAATCTTGACTTTTGTGATTTGAACTATCGTTCCGACGAAGTACCGGACAATTAATATAACATATTGATGATATGGCTGTCAAACAGTTTATGGTCCAACTTACAATTTCTGATTCATTTTATTAAGAATGTAATAAATTTATCAAATCACCAAAAATGTTTTATTTGTTTTCACTTTTACATCCTTGACTTACCACCATGTCTGATAAAAATATATAGTTGCAAAGATCAGTGACAAAACCTAACAACTCCAGAATGCGAAGTCAATATGCCAGGTACTGTAAGAGGCATCCATACATGCATGCTTGGCAGGAAATAAGTCTGAATTATTCTGACGTTTATTTTTTATTTTTTATATCAGTCTATCGTCGATTAACATCAAAACTCCGGCCCTCTATAATATGCGGGAAATAAGCGACCCGCGCCGGGGTCGCTCTTCAAACTGATATTTTAGAAACAAGTTGTCACTTTCACACACATGTCGCACAAGCATCGAAAGATCTATTCTTTATGCACTAGGTGGTATCAATACCATGTTTCAAAGATCATTACCAACAGTAACTTTTAACGTTTTCTATAACAACCCACGTTTTAAATGGAAATTAGGGCATGAGCCATGTCACATGACTTGACGAAATCTAGCATTACCGAAGGTATTTCCCAACATTATGACGTAGGCCGTCAAGATTTTAGTCACGTGGCATTAGAAGGCGGAGCTATCAAACAGAGTAAAACAGAGTAAGTTTAAAAAAATATGTTTTTAGTGATTGTATTGGTTGTTTGAGGCATGTTATGTATGTTCATCTTGTGCATAAAGAATAGATCTTTCGATTCTATGAGCGACATGTGTGTGGAAGTGACGATTTGTTTTTAAAATATCAGTTTGAAGAGCGACCCTGCACGGGTCGCTTATTTCTCGCATATTATAAAGGGCCGGAGTTCTGACGTTAATCAACGACAGACCGATATAAAAAAAGTCGATAAAACGTCAGAATAATTCCCGACTAGGCAGTAAATAAAAAAAAACCAATGTGCACTTTTGGAACTATATAGAACTTGGAAGTTTTAGGATACAATTGACAATCGTCGTCGTCATCATCATTTATCTCATCATTTCTCTCTCTCTCTATATATATATAACTATAGCATAAATCATGTTTCTATGTTGCGTATATATAACTATACACTAGTATCACATATCATGTTCGTATAATTTGATATGGAATATTAAATTCTCCGATATCCCAATAAAAGCATGTTAAAATCTTTCATGCATCGTAACTAGCAGTAAATCACTATTTTTATTGATTTCAGTATTACCAGGCACCAATCTGTTCTGTTCACTCCCAATATTAACATTTGCGTAAGTGTAATATTACATCGGAGCTGCATTTCGAAAACTCCGAAAACTTTTATATTACTTTTCATTTTCTCCTTCATGGTTCAATGAAGCAGGTCTAAGTTTTGCCATACTACAGATTTCCAGCTATCTCCCAGAAATCCAATTATCAACAAAGAATAAAATCTCTTTCCATAATGAAAGTATGGCAAGTATTTCAAACAACTGGTTGGTGTTTGTTTAAAATCCTTTTGACCTTGAATATCCGTGGAATTCATATGAATTGCTGCAAAGTGATGCAAAATAACAGGTTGCGCTTAGAGAAAGGATGTAGTTTCCTGTGTACAAGCAGACAAACCTAAGTCTTTATAGAGATTCCAACTGGTCCACGGGGGGCAGACGGCTCATCAAAATCAGTTGAGCAATGTCTTCTGTGGTTGTAAAATGGCCGTTTTTGTGATATCTATACGACTTTTGTGGCTCATTGAAAGACAGGTTCTACAATATCTTTTTAACAACATATTTCAATGCTTCAGTCCTAGACAGATTCAAATACCATAATGACATCAACAAAGCAGTATTTTGTAATCTCAGAAAAGGTTGCAATACCCAACACTACTGTTTCAACGTTCTGGTGTTTTTTCTGCAGTAAAGTATTTTTGTTGATAATCCTGATTTGTCGGATTCAATTTTTGCCATTTTAACGTTTGTATTACTGTATTTTACACTTTTGCACTCTTTCGAGGAAATAAAACATTTTTTGCCAGCTTTAACTTTTCAAAGAAATTTATATTATTACCACTAAAAATATAGAAATTGACAGTATAGCGACCTTGCTACGTATTCTGCTCTCCATTTTTGGCTTCAAATCCTGAAAAAAGAATGTGGCTGGAAATTTATTACATGATCTGAAATAAAACTGTATGATGAAATATCACATGCGACGGAGGCTAAAGATTAGGTCAGATTAAACTTAAACTCTTTCCATGTAGAAGTGCAGAGTAAAACACTGACAAGTGTACACCATGACCCAGATGCGATTACAAGTTTGATCCAGACTTTGGTGAAGTCTAATTACGCAGCCATAAAACCAGTAAACGAGGTAAGCACTACAGCTAACCCATATATATGTGTTGCCCAAATTAGC